GAATTTTGAACTGTGATTTGGACTTCTAAATACACTGCATCTTTTAAAATCTTTACACTGATCAATCAATGAAAATGTTTCTAACATTTTTACCCCAAGCAAAATTACACTTGAAGAAGAAATTAATTAAATTTCTTTCCAACCACCCAATTCTTTCCCTAACCTATCTCTATTATTCTTAATCTCACTCAAAAATCACAACCAATCTCATAAACTATGGTCATTGTTGTATAATTCATATTTATTTGAGTAATGGAGGATTCTAGTAACAAAAATGTGCATATTTTTCTACATAATTGGTGATTTTAAAACCTCTTTCCAGGTTAAAGCTTTGTTGAACCAACCAAGCCCAGACATACTTGATATGGTCGATGATCTTACTTGGCTAAGACCAAACAATCTTAGTTTTTTCAGTGAACCAAGGTCGAATGGAGCTTTTTCTCCCTTTTTCCAAAATGAAAGGATCTACATCAAACCACTCCCAAATAACTCTCATTCTCAAAAAACTCCCAAACTGTTCAAAACAATAAACAACATTTTACAATAAACTAATATCTGTAAACCCTAAAATTTCAAACTGGGAATTGTCAGCAATGGAGCAGTGGGCCAACCAGAGGTGGGTGGAGGACGATCATCGATGACAAGCTGGTCGGTGGTCTACAATGGTCTGACTGGCAGTGGGCGGCCGGATGAGCATTGGTGACCAGCCAGCTGGTGGTCTACGATGGTCTGACAGGTGGTGGGAGAATGGGTAGGTGTACAAAAAAAAAAATGAGTATGATCCGAGGATGGGATTAATTTTGTTATAAATTGTTTGGTGGGTTAGAGGCAGTGGGTATAGAGTTTCCCTTCTAAAAAAGGAAATGTGAACACTAAATTTACAACTTAGGCAAATGGTCTATTTACCAAAACCCCAGTGTTCCTATTATAATTTATATGAGATTCTGATGCATTTTCTTCACATACAGAGGAAAAGCGTAAAACCAAATTCCAAGAATATCTTATACATTATTAGTCTATCTACAAGTCAAAAGATAGAGACATGTACAGCCAACAAGCACATATTTACAGAGTACCTTTAAATGCCACGAAACAGTCAAGGGCTTCAGCATTTAAAACTAACAAAATAAAGCCTTGCGTCCCAATCAATTGTGGTTAGCTACATGAATCTTTTTTTCCTCCATTTTGTTCTGTCAAGGGCCGTATGCTCAATTAAATTAGGTACCAAATCTTTGTATTCGCATTCATGTTCATACAGGATCCGACGGGGTTTTAACGTGTTGGCTGTCTAGCTACCTAACACACAATAGATGAAAGCTGAAATTTTGATGTTGGGCGTTTCATTCTATAAATGCTGAAATTTGCAGATCTTTTTCGCATGTTGGGCTCAGAGTTGGCAAAGAAAGAAAGAAAAGAAAGTGTAAGAGACCACTCTTTTATGAGTTATATGAAGTATTTGGATGGAAAGACATTGTAGGTCTTTGAGGAGGTTGAGCTTTTGATTCATTGTCTGAGGAAAAAGTTGCACATTTACCTGATTTTGTTAACAAGAGAGTCTGTCCCTTGCTGTTTTTTGTTGATTGCTGACTTTTGGGAGAATTGTATATACCTGTAGATTATAGTCAATATAGTTTTGTCTCGGTCTATAAAAGGTTGCATGGTTGCATCCTACTGTTGGCACTTAATAATTTTTTCCTTATAATGATAATAATAATAATACATATTAATATACTAGTTCTATAGGTAAATGCATAGCACTCACCAATCCTGTTTAACGTTTTTGATTATCTTGCAAATTTCCAAGCATCTTGAAATGTTTCTGTTTATTCAATTATAATTCTTGCAAAGTAAGTATTCAAATGAATATCTAATAGAACAAATATTAACAGCCCTTTCAACAGCATTCACAAAGGGAATAAAGCAGAAATCACCAGAAAGTAATGAAGGAAACAGAGCAGCATATCAAAGTCACCAGATATAGTATTTTGAGGAGACACTAGTTTCAGACACATGAGACACATAAATCCACTAAAAAAGCAATATGAGTAAACAGAACATAGCATATCTAAACCACAAAATGCAGGCGTGGTCAAAAGAGGCTTACCACTATGCCCAATAAAGAGAGAAGATCCCTTGCCCCAATTCGCCCCATACGAGATAGAAGAATTGAAGCTAAAACCTGAAGTGACTTCAATCCACCTTTCTTTTTTTGCCTACTTTTCTTTACAATATTTTCATTCCCAACCACCTTCTCTAATTGTTCTTTATTATCACTGAGCCCATTGTAGTGACCAAAACAATCAGGCCTTTTGCCACAATATCTTGATCGCAAGTATGCAGCTGTCCCACCAGCAACCACGACACCAGTAGCAAGTAGTATTGCTTTCCTGTAGAAGAAAAGAGAAACTATGGGTCCACCACTGACAGAATTAAAATAGAAGGATCATACTAGAAAAGGAGTCACTCAAAAAGATGGTTCCAAAGCAATGAATTTACAGTTGATGCCAAGGACCATCCTAAATTTAAACAAGTCTTGAATTGCCTCATATTAGGTTAAATCTCGACAGACTAAATTTTTTAAATGTTTTTAATTATTTCAGTAAATTTCGTCAGATCCTACCAGACTCCACAAATTCTCATTCAAACAAAAACTATTATTTATTTTCTTAGTAACAAATAAAGCTATCACTAAATAGCACCAGAAGAGGTGCAATCCAAATACGCATGGGCATACAAAAGAGACTGCCTTGAAGGTCACATATTTAGCCTGTAATGCAAGTAGTTGAAACAAAACCCTTCATTGGAAGCCATGAATACAAAAGAGCATACCATGCTTAATCTTGTGGACCAGTATCTCATCCTCCTCAATGTAGGTCTACACAATTATCTCTATACAGTCCACCAAACACTTGACATTCAAATTATGGCCCTGTTTGGCACCTTGGTTTTTTGACTAATAAAGGCAAAAAGCTACTAAAAGACCAAAAGGTCAAAATTACTAAAAAAATCAAATCAAACACACTAGTCATTCAAGTTTTTTAATACAACTAAAAAAAGTCATTCCCAAACACATTAACTTTTTTGTTATACTCAACAAGTTAAAAATTCACTAAAAATGCCAAACCCCAAACGAGGACTATAACTTATTTGTCTTGCTGTTGTTCTAATTCAATAAACGAGTCCAACACAAATCTGAAATTCACCAAAGTTTTGCACATATAGGTTGTGTACAGTTTCACATCATAGTTTAACAACCGATGCGTGATAATATATTCTGAGAAGTTATGTAATCCTTTGCATTGAATGCAAGGTAAAAGAGCTGACTTTGTGTGTTTATGATAAAAAATAAAAAATAAAAAAGTATTGACGATTCTGTGCAGGCATGGCAATAGGTTCAAGATTGAGATTTGATTTCTAGTTCTTGAGTTTTTAGTTTTATATTGAAATTTTGGATTAGTCAATGCTTCATTTAGTGAGAATCTCACTTGCATAGAGATATTTGCAATAGGGTTTTTTTCAATAAAATTGGATTCATGCCTTAGTCTACAATATATGTGCTATGATTATCTTAATGCGTTGACAGCCTTTCCTAAATTCAATGGTATGCTATTGAAACTATCAATGTTTTCATTCTAATCCTTTTACTTTGTTACCAACTACATGTACTTGCTACAAGGACATGCTATAAAGTTCAAGCTCTACAGTATGTTTTCACAAGATCAAAGGTAGTCGCTTCTATGCCCGAATCAGAACTGGATCTCTAGAAACACTATGAATGATGGCCAGCGGTAAATACTATGTATTTATTAACCAATGGGTCATCTAAACATCTAATTATTCCAAACTTCCAGCCATGAAAATATCCATCATTGAATCCATTAAATATTGGGTGCTGAACTTCTATTTGCATGCATTGTGTTCTTGACAGTTAACTCACCCACTAGGCTAAAAACTTTTCACCAATCACAACAGTAAAATGATGAAAATTTGACCCACCCTTCCTCTCTCTGCTGTTTGTCATTACCAACCCTAATGACTAGGGCTGGTTTTGGAACCAGCTTTAGGGCTTTTTCGTCTTTATTTTCCATTTTTAGACTAAATTTCCACAGAAAATTTGTTTTTAAAAAAATGAATGTCAATTGAAAAATAGCAATGAAGACGAAAAATACACCCAAAAATGCTGGTTCTAAATGACCCCTAAAGATCTCATCAATTATTCTCTCCTCACTACTATTTCAAAGATGAACACTTGAAAATGGTAGTAGATGGCAGCACAAGCTCATGTTAAACTTTTCTCGTATTCCACCAGTACAATTTTAACATACTTGAATGCACATAGTTTAAAATTTAAACACTTCTCCAATCATAAACTTCTCATATAGTTGAGGAGTATACAGGATATTGTAGGAGTTTCCTTGAGAAATATAATGATGAAGCATAATCCATGCTTAATAAGTTTTCCTACACTTAACTAACTGCTTTGATTATTAGTCTTATCATTGACCATCATCCAAGCCATACAGCAGCAACTGCCCGCTACAACTGTGCATCCAAACATGAAGTGTGCCCAGAGTTGGCTAGTCTATGATCGACAATTCGTAGCAGTCGCCTAGATAATCTATGTCGCCTAGATAATCTATGATCAACAATTCATAGCAGTCACCTAGTTAATCTATGAGCAAAAAATTCAGCAATTCAATAATCAGTTTTTGAGTAGACAGGATTAGTTGCACTAGTAGCCGAGATCCATTTAAAGGGGTGACAAAGTCAAAATATACCAAAAAACATTTTCTTTACTACATAAAGACAGCACATTGAAAGCCTTAGATATATAATGTGACGATAGAGCTAAGTGACTCCACTGATAATATTCAAATGTTATGGGAATTCTAGATTTAGCATCAATAATAACACAGTAGAACAGTCGGTACCAGTGTTATGGGAAGTCCAGATTTATCATTAATAATAGCAATAAGAGTAGAACAGTCAATACCTCCTTGAGGCCAAAAGGCTATGACCATGTTCAGTTAACTGCAATAGCTGAAGAGACGGCATAGATAAAGATGAACCTTCCCAAACCAACAAATATCAGTAACTTGGATGGCTTCCTCTCAATTTCTGACAAAATAAACACAACAAAAAATAATTTTCATTGAAAACAACTTAAAATGGTTATTCCCACAACAGCCAACACAGTAGGAACAAAGAAAAATAAAACTAACAAAATTCTTTCAGTGCAGAAGTGGCAAACCATATATAAAAGATAGCTTCAAAGAGGCATCAAAATTACTATGATAATAGAGAAATATGTGTCACAGCAAAGCATTCCCTTAATCACAAAAGTGGGCAACTGAGTGACGTCTGTTTACAAAATCTTCCAATTCAAAACATATATGACCATACAGAACATAAGTAACATCCCAACAAAATTAAGGATTAAAACATAAGTAACCAACCAAGCCCAGAAGAACCGCACTGAAATGATGTTCGGTGCGGTTTTTTTGTATTCCATTGAGACAGTTCAAATGATTGCATGTATATGATGTGGGTATTCTAGGGTTCACTCTGTCCGATTGGTTTCAGGATTGGATAGTTGTTTGAGGATCTTGATTACCCAACTTTGCACTGCGTTCTGAGCTTCGGATTCAGAGATAGATAGGCAGAGAAAGTGATGTCGTTGGGATTTTCTGTTGAAGATCAGGTAAGCGCAGTAATTCTCTTCTTCTGTTGTTTCCTTGTTTGGTTGGTGAGAAAACTTGGGAAAACAATCGTAAAATCGAATTTGTTGTTATTTGTCAATTGAATTTTAATTTTTTAAAAATTTTGTTGCATTCCCAAAAGCAAAGGAGGTTGCGCCAACTTTGCAAAATGTTTTTGTTACTCTCATTAGTAGTTGAGGTATATGCTACAGAAGTTGCTCTTCCAGCAATAGGGTTGTGCTTTTTCTAACCATATTTGCTAGGTGTTGGTCTAATTCAATTTTGTAATGGGTTACTGGCATTGTGCAGGGATGCATATTTACTATGAAAGGATTGGGTATGCTTATTTAATTTTGTATTCTAGATTTTCTATTTCTGTCTTAGTAAGGTACCATATAAATAAAGTCTGAATAGTTAGTTACCTGGGTTGTGTCTAATTGTGTTGAAAATTGGCAAATTAACAAGTTCCGGACAGTGGTTATCAAGTTTTAAAAGGGTTGTACATTCATCATAAAATTGGGGTAGGTAAGGTATTTACAACCATTTAATGATTGTTATGAAAGTCAGAGCAATTACAAGATAGAGATATTTATTTTCTTTTTGACAAATAAAAGTCTATTATTAACAGAGAAGAATCAAGGTGATGCTAACAAATACAATGAAAAAGAATCAACAGAAAACCCAAACCTAAACACAAAGAGTATCTAAAAATCAACAAAAGCAAACAAATCTGGGACACTCTCCCCAAAACCAACTGTACCAAATCACCAAAATCCGATCCTTCATATGAGTCGCCAATTCATTCACCCCCTAAAAAATATGCCAATTACACTATGACCACATCATCCACGTCAAACACAGAGGTGCCAAAGCCTACGTCTTCCTAAGCCCCTGGCCTCCAGCTGTGAAAAACACCCTCGGCACTCCCTTGTTGCACCCAAACCATTTCAAACATGGAAAAAATCAACACTCAAAGCTGATATGCCACCAAACAATGAAGAAGATAAGACAAGGACTCCGCAACCCCACGATACATACAACACCAATTGACCATAATCTGTCGTTGCCAAATAAGATTATCAATTGTGAGAATCCTATCTAACGCTTCCATTCACGCAAAGAACGCTACATGAGAAGGAACTCCAACAATCCAAATACTCTGCCACGGAAAATGAGTATCTACACCTCCCACCAAAACTTGGAAAAAAGATTATTCCAAAAACACTCCCTTGGATCATTCCAATTCCTTTATTGGATTGCTTGATTTGCTAGATATTAGAACATTACTTGTTATTGGTGTAGATGGGTTGAGATTAATTGTTGTGAGGAGTAATGTAAGGTTGAAAATTTACAGTTTTTCAATTCTACTGGAGCCATATTTGAAAAATTAGTATCACAATAAGCTTTTACTCTAGTTTCCAAATTTTTGAATTTTTGTTATATATCTATTACTTTATTTTTTATTTTACCTTTCGTTTTGGTTAGATAGAAAATAATTATGAACTGAAAAAGTTGAAGACTAGACAATATAAGATGCCTAACCACATACCCTCAGGTCATCAAGGTAAGAGGCATACCCTTGACAACACTGGATTGCAGGGTATCCATATGAAACACAAAAGAACAGATTGAATCTGTTTACAATTAAGAGGTCCACTAGATGACTTGCTACATGCAGAGCCCACTAGTAAGATAGGTCCAGAGCTACCAAAGTGTCCTGAACACTACAAATCTGGCAAAGCAATTCTTAACATCCTGATTATCATATTGCATCATGTAATTTTGAGCCCACTAGTATGGTTTTGGATATATTGGAGCAATAATGCAATTATTGAAGCTCTTAGCCATCTGTAATCATCTCAGAATCTTTCGGTGGGCATTTGAAATCATTCATGATAACATTGGATTAATTTTAGGAGATGAATGACTTGGAATTTCTTGAGTTGAGTATTTGTGTATGTTTTTCTTCTTTTTATTTCCCATTATGAATATATGATATATCATCAGTTGTCTTAATTTATATAAATTAGTTGAATGACACCATATATAGGTATCAATTGATTAAGTAAACCCATATTAATTGGAATAGCATACTAGTCAGAGAACATAATTACGAAAATGTCATTAGTTACTCTCTAAAAAACTTAAAATTAATATTATTATTTTTATCTAGTGTATTTAATTAAATAAACTAGATAGTTTATTTGGTTTATTTAATTAAATGCCACAATTTACAGGTACCGTTTAATCAAGTTAAACTCGTAAATTAGACACGTGAATGAAATAAATTAGTCACAGTTATGTTTTTAACTTTTTACTCATAATAGAAGTTCCAGGTATGTTGTGCTTGACTGTTGCTGGGGATTGTTATTGTACAACAAACCATAGTTGCTGGTTTGAAGCTTACAAGTACAATCTTTGATGTTGTAGAAGTTTGTACTACTACTGACTTCTACACGTGATGGAGCATGGTTAGCAACCTTGGCTTTGGTAAGGTAGTCTAGTTAACCCCATTTCTTCGTGGAGCATTATTGGCGCGCGCACACATTTTCTTTTCTTTTTTTTTGATCTCCAGGTATGTTGTGCTTGACTGTTGCTGGGGATTGTTATTGTACAACAAACTATACATGCAAAGAAAGCCATAGTTGCTGGTTTGAAGCTTACAAGTACAATCTTTGATGTTGTAGACGTTTGTACTACTACTGACTTCTACACGTGATGGAGCATGGTTAGCAACCTTGGCTTCAGTAAGGTAGTCTAGTTAACCCCATTTCTTCGTGGAGCATTATTGGCGCGCGCACACATTTTCTTTTTTTTTTCTTTTTGATCAGCAACAAAAGAAGATTTTATTAAAATGGAGAAAAGAGAAAAAATGAGTACAAAGTCCTCAAAAGCAAAAACCAAGAAAACCTAAATAATGACACATGGACTTCTAATCGCTAGAAATTAAAAAAAGCAGAATTCCCTTAAATGGGGGAGCCACGAAGGCCAAAAAGATGCCAAGAATCTGATTTTCTCCCACATCGAACAGACATCAATGCATTTATCCTCAAAGATTCTCACATTCCTTTCCAACCATATGACCCAAAACAGAGTAGAAACTGCACAAATCCCCAACATCTTCGCCTTTTTATTTAAGCCCCAAAATCGAAAATCAACAGAGAGCATTGAACTACATGATTCAGGTGCCACCCTAGCTAGACCACCCCATGAAAAGAACTGCTGCCACAAACTCCTTGTCACTGGGCAATGCAAAAAAAGATGATTTAGAGTCTCCCCCTCTCCCTTACACATAATGCACCATTGAAGAGAAAGATAATGATTAGTCCTGCTCTTTGGAAGGACATCATTGTTCAAGATGCTTCTATGAACCAAAAACCATTAAAAAATAAATAAAAAAAAATAAACTCCACTTTGAGAGGCGCAAAAGACTTCCAGATTCTTTTGTGAAGAGGAAAAATGGGGACATTTGGCTTCTCAATGATTTTTTTGAAAAAAGATTTGCAAGAAAAAACACCGGAGGAATTTAGGACCCAAACCAATTTATCATTCAAGGAAGAAATCAAAGACAAATGCTCAATACGAGATAACAAGGAAGCTAAATCCCCAATCTCCCTATCAGTGAGATTTCTAGTAAATCTAAGATTCCATGCAATTGGAGCCAAACTAGGACATGCAACAACAACAATAGAGGACCATGAGAGTTTGCAACCTATAAAGACCCTGGAAATCCCGAGCAAGAGAAGAATTTCTAACCCACATGTCCTCCCAAAACAAATTGACTCCCCATTTCCCACCCTAAGAGAGAAATCTAGAGAAAAGAGGAAATATGGGATATCGACTTCCAAGACGATCGACAATTATCCGTCAAAACCACATGAATAGACCTACCATCATCATGAACCCCATACTTGTTTTTAATAATAGAATGCCATAATGAGTCACTCTCCAAAGGGAATCTATAGCCACTTTCCCAAAAGAGCAAGATTTCTTGCTAACAATATTGGCACACACTCTTGGAGTGTCTAGTCGCTACTTGCACTGTAGGTCTTTGATTGATAGGTTACCATCTCCATAATGCTTAGTTGAATCAATCATTTCATTGCAGATTTTTTTGAAAGACGTGTTTTTTCATGTTTGTATGATAGTGCATGAAGAACAGCTAAGAATTCAAATATGATTTCTCAAAATGCCAATAAAAACTATCCATTTGTGCCCTCTTCTTATGCATGTACTTTTATAGACATGAAATTGGTGATGTTTCATGGGCAATTCACAAATTGACATGCATGTATCCATGTTAACTTAAGACATACTAGCCATCTGCCAAATTTTCCATTTTGGGTTATACATGCTGTGCTCTTCCTTAAATTTGTAGCGCACCAAATATGAAGTTTGTTTTATCTGATTTGGAAAATTCCCACCATACTGGAGTAATTTCCTGGTGG